GCGAGAGTACTTTGACGGAGAAAACCGGGGGCACGACCTGACGTTGACACATTTGAACTTGTGATGGTCCATTTCATCCGCGATCCGGATTAGGCCTTTGAAAAAGGTTGCCGTCACCGGGCAGCATATTCCACCTAACGGATTTATTATACAGATTAATCCACTTTTCCCCCGTGCCACTTAATTTCCCGACTTTTCATGCCTACTTCATCATATTTTTCGAAGGCGGATTACACAGGGTGATCCAGGGCTAAACGGCCAGACTGCAGAGGCGTGTTCTATAGGTCAAAATAAGACTTTTTTGTTGTATGAAGTTTTTTCGAAAAGTGTCCCAAGTCGAAGCTACGCCCTCCCAATTTTGGAAGTAAATCGTTTTTCCTGAATTTTGGCAACGGTTCTGAACCATGGAATGGAGCGCACATATTTTTTCTAAAGGAAAGCTTGTGCCACGGGTATGTTTTGAGCAAACAAATTCTGTTTCCAGAATTACGTATTTTCTGATCTTTATTTTATTCTCCTTGGCTTATTTCTGCTAAAAGCCTGCTATCCATTTCTATTGAGCTTTTTTTTTTCTTGCAAATCCATAAGATTAAATACGGTTTTTGACCCCACATCCAAGCCAACTTAAAAATTGGCGTAGAGCCTTGTCCAGCACCGGCGTTGAGGCTCAAAGATTTAGGACTGGGAGGGGGTTTGATGAGGGGTGGGAGGATGGGGGGCGATATTAAATTCGGCGAGCGAGAGAGCGGGGGGCGAAGAGGGCTATAAATCAGGGGGCTGGACGGTGGGGGTGGGGTGAAGGGATGGAGACGGACGAACTGACCTTATCTAAAATTTGGACGACGTGGTCGCTGGAGTTCTCCTGAGCGGAGCAGATCAGGGAGATCACCCGCGTGATGGGCGCCTCCAGCGGCAGGTTGTGCAGCTTCGCCAGGCTCTGTCGTCGCGCAGATTGGGCACCTGAAACGATTAAAAGTGGCAACACTGTAAAAATGGGTTTAAAAAATTTTGTTTTTGATTTGAGGAACATTATTTTGACATGATTTTTTTGTATTAAAAAATTGCTAAGATACAAGTTACTCCGTCACTTGTAAATTCCTTTTACACTACCTTACTGCACGATGTGTATATTCCTAATGATGTAGGAGGTCACAATAAATCGATAAAAAAATTGTTTTACTTAAATAATTTTTTTGGATGTGGCATTGCATAAAATACGTAAAGTTTGAAACGATGGCAATCGGCAAATTGTAGAAAAGCGCTGAAGAAAAAATTGGCAGTAAAGGTTGATACGAAGAAAATGCGTCTGACATGATTTGTTTTCCTATAGAAAAACAGGTTTACTCGAAGAATTTTTTTTTGCGATGAGACAATATTCATGAAGTACGGTATTAATCTAATTTATTACGGAATAAATGCGGTATTTTAGGGTAGGGGGCGGCGGAGGGTCAAAGAGAGCGTTACATCATTTAGTTTTTACGTACGAAAGGTTAGGGACCTACATCATAAAAGCGTGTTGAAAAGAATGTAGTTGATTCAAAGCTATTTAAGTATTCGTCATAAATTGCAAATTTAATTTTCTCCGTATCAAAAATATAATTTTATTGAAATGAAAATTTCTTTCACAAAACAAATTCTTTGAAAGAAACATGTTTTTTTCAATTGAATAAAAAGTTTTTAAATTTTTTTCCGGAAAGAAAATTACGTAAACTAAATGTAACGGAATCGAAGATGAAAGGGCTTAAGGTGAATAATGAAAAAAAATGTGACCGTTTCGGCAAGCCTCAGTTTAACAAAACTTGAAATTGGCTTTTTGATGCTACTACATCAATAAGTGTTCCTCAGTTATATTAGGACCTAAAAGTCCCAACAAATCGACAGCTTAACAAGGTCCATATTACCAACAAGCACCAAAAACAGTTTCAAGTTATTGAAAACTATCGGCTCTAATTGATTTTTTCGTTTTTTGCACTTCCCCCTCAGAGTTGGATCATTTCCAAAGGTTAAATTGGGTTATTTTTGTAAATCTCTCCCCATACGTACCAAGATTATTTTTACCAAGCCTCTTTCAGAGGTGGTAAGGGTGTAAGGGTGGTAAGGGATGATTATTTTCGAGACTTGGGAATACTTTGCGATATCAGAACACTCGTTCGGAGTTTAAGCCCCCTGTCGATCGGATCTGCATGGTCGGCCTCACCGCAGGAAGTTTTCACAAATCCCTGCCCGCATTATCCGATCAAAATTTCCACCGTTAAATATTACTGCCGCTGAGCTTTCGCTGTAGCGAGCTAAACTTCCTTCGCTTTCAGATAGGGTGCGAGTTTCAAACTCATCCCCCCTCCCCCGCACTTTTACAGTCTCAGGTGTTGTTTGTGCCTTCGAATTGCCTACTCAGGTATTCGATTCGGATCTGCCGACAATTTTATTGCGACTTATCTGCCCTTATCGACCCAGACTCTTCATTTGTAATTTTTTCGGGGTGCAAAAAAAGAAAAAGAAAAAGTAAAAAAGAAAAAGAAAAAGTAAAAAAGAAAAAGAAAAAGTAAAAAAGAAAAAGAAAAAGTAAAAAAGAAAAAAGGAAAAAGAAAAAAGAAAAAAGAAGAAAGAAAAAAGAAGAAAGAAAAAAGAAAAAAGAAAGAAGAAAAAAGAAAAAGAAAAAAGAAAAAGAAAAAGAATAAATAAGAAAATTAAACTGTTAAACCTAAAGCCTCGAAGGCAAAATTTGTTGGAATTCCATTTCGATAAATTTTCGAAATTTTTTGTAAGCGGGAAGTTTATTAAGAGAACGCATATTTCTTCCGCAGATTCTGAAGTTGAGAGTGTGCTTCAGTCTTTTCTGATGCCCTTATCGTGATTTTGGAGCCATTTTCTATCAGAAACGATTCTCCCTTTTGCTTTAACCGAAGTTTGCAACAGGCCCATTGTATTTAGTAACTCAACCGACAGACCTATATTGAATCCAAAATAAGTCATCGCACGTAGAGATGCATAATTTCGCAGCACTGACCATCGAAACTTTGATTGGATGGATCCTACGGCGTTCTGATGCAGACGCCATTTAAAAGTTAGCAGCCCGGAATGGCGTGATGGTATACGAGCTCGCATCACGGTTACGCGAGCTCGCGGCCGAAAGTTTGGAACTTTCGTAGCAGCTTTCGCGAATCCGCGGTGGTTTGCGCGCGTTCTGCACGGACGAGCTTCCGTGATATTTTTCGCGAGCAGTCGTCCGGGTTTTATGGCCGGCTAATTTCATCCCTGCCGGACACAGTTGCCAGATAGTGCTGAATAATCAGCACTTTCACTACATTCATACCCATGTAAAGTATCCACATTCTATCGCACGATCTGACAACTGTGCTACGGGTGCAGGAAAAACGTGGAAGCTGGGTCATTACTAAGCGTGGGTGGCGTTAAGAGCTGTGCTGTCGTGCAAAGGAAAAACGTTGCATACACCTCCAGGTGTTGCCAAATTTCTATAGAGAGAATACGAATTTTCAAGAAAATGTGTGAATATTTTTCCTCCAAATTTTCGGACAATTTTGTACGCAATTCAACTGATTAATCTAAAATTTTCATGGGAAAATATCCATAACTTTCCTGAAAATTACATTTTTATCCATGAAAATTTGGCAACTCTTGAATTTTCATACGGTGTTTTTCCTCAGCACAGCAAAGTGGTGCATAGGTCCCAGAGACGAAGTGTTTAAGAGAACCCCGGCGTTGTGTATTTCCCTAAAAGTGTCTCAAACTGTTAATTTGTGATAGTCCACAGGACCTTCGTCCGAGGAGCTAGTTTTTTTTTTTTTTTTTTTTTTTTTTTTTTTTTTTTTTTTTATTTATTTTAGCGATTTTTAAGTTGAATCTATATTTTCTTATAGACAGAGTTAGTGGCTTTGCCATGTGTGATACATTTAGTATACAAAGGGATTTCTCTAAAGAGGAATATATCTTGTTCGGATGACCTTTTTCCCTCTGCAACGAGAATTTCAGTTGCATACTGAATTTATCACCCATGGCAAAATTACTAACTCGTGCGTCGAACCGCAATATTTCCGTAGTACATATACTTTCTACTGCATGTCTCTATCGGCGGACTGAATATTGAAATCGAAGGACGAAGTGACACATAAAGAAGATAAAGAGGAAAAACCTAAGAATAGATTGAATCTAAAATTTGCTGATTGATACAGGAATAATATGAGCGCCGCTTTAGAGCGGTTACTCTCAAGTTGGATCAAAGATAAATTTTGGTAGTATTACTGGAAAGCTCTCCTATGTCCCATATTATGGGATGCAAGCGGGAGTGGGTTCTGTACGTCGTAAATAGGAGCGAGCCAATGGGAGTGGTCCTACACGAAACTTCTGTCTAAAGTCGCAAATTTTCATGCTTCGGGGAAGTATTTGACTGAAGCAGCGAATTTTGTCATTTAATCCATCGCGTAGTATATTTTGAGGGGGCTTCTGATTAGAAGTTTTACAAGGAAACCTATGAAATCACTTTTAAACCCCTAAATTTCGTATTTACGACGACATATATTTCCATATCATGTCGGACCCTTTCCATTGATTTGCTCCACGATGCTGCTGTCAAGCTTGAAAGTTCCAAAGTACCGCCCAATTATTGCACCGAGAAAATGGAATAAATTATATTGAATGAGTACTCACCTTCACTGTTTATGGACTTTAGGTCGTAGGATCCTTTTCGTATCGAGGGCACACTTCCACGGGGTAAGGCATGTCCGTCCGAAGGGTTGTCCTGAATATAGATATAGTGAGAATTCGTTCTGGAACCAAAATCATCCAAAAATTAACCAAAATTGTAACCATACAAGGTTACCAACACAATGAAAAGTTGGAAATTTTGGAGTGTAATAAGATCCCGGAATATACAGTGTATTTAGAGTGAGGGTAAATATAACGTTTAGTCAGAGCGAATCTCATCCCGAGTCGGAGTGAGTCTCACAACGGGCCAGCGTGCCTCAGACTCATTGTGAATGTCCAGTTAAGTGGTATGTAGATAGTTTGACTGTGGGACAAGTATTCAACGCTTTGGTTCTGACCAATTCCGTTTTCAGGATGTTTACTAACATGCTTATGTAAAAAAAAATTGTATATTTTTGCTACATTTTTCGTGTTTTTCTAACTAATGACAAAAGCAAGTTCCGCCTTTTCCAAGAACTTTAGTGCTTTTTACGTGACGATCAACCACGAATCATAGTTGATTATTTCTGACAAATAAGTTAAGCAAAGATCGGAGCATCGCGAGTTCACGCCTCGCGCCGTCGCGCCTTCAATTTTGCAGATGCAGCACGGACATCCATCAAGCACGAATAGTTGTATCTCTGCGCCGTCAGCAATGCGCGTCTTATTCCTTGTCCTACTTCCTTTCCATACTGTGTGATACTGGTGAATTCGTCGATCTGCTGACAAAAGGGCGTAACTATACTTTGAGATGAGCCTAGGAAATAGCTCAAATGAGGAACATGAACAATTACGGGTTCATCGCAAAGTGTAGTTATGCCTTTCTGCCAGGAAGGAAACGAATTGACGGTATTTAGGTGAATTTTTCTAGAGGATAACAAATTTAAAGAAACTTTTGAGTGGAAGTGACTTTGAGTCTAAGTATCAAAAGAGTTAATATCGATGGCGATAGTGCGAAACCGTGTTTCTCTGTATGTGACGCTATAGACTTCTTGTCATACTTTATATTTTCTTAGAAAAACTCGTAAACGTACGTATGTAATATCTTGAAAACTTCTTAGATCGTCCTCTTCCGTTAGCAGAATATTCTGTGTAAAGCTTGAGCTATGAGGTATGTTTCTATTGAAAAAAAAAAAATAAATAAATAAGCGCGAAAATTTTGAAACAGCGCAATGCAAGTACGCAGTTTCCCACTTTGGCCATCGATATGTTTCTAACTCACACGACAACTCTTAATTCTGACACGGTGAATCTTTTGGATGGGAGGAAACTTCTCTTCCGACAAAGATTTCTCACGCGACCTGACAATATCGTTTCTGGGCGCCTCAAACACTGACTTTGACTTGATTCCTCCCCGGNGGGGGGGGGGGGGGGGGGGGCTCTGGGGTGCACTTGGTGCAAAAACAATAACGGATCCCCGGATGCATTCGATCCTGTAAGAGTGCACGCGCTGACACGACGTTAGTATATGATGGATGAATTATGACGCGAACACAACAGTTGCCATGTCGTTGATGATTACTCTCTTTTTTAAACGGAAACGGTTGGAATAAATGGACTTTTACGGGACAAATTTCAACACTGCCTCGTTTCTGACTCGAGTGCAATAAGGAAATATGGTGGAATGACGTCATCGCCGCCCTCGTCTGCTGCAGCTTGTAAGGATTACTTTCCCCGTAAAATCGAACTTTTCTGCGTCCCCGTCGATTGAGGATTCTAGCTAAGGAAGAACGACGTATGATCATTTGAGAGTTGCCAAAACTCCTTCGATAAAATATTCCTTTTTAAGGAAAGTTATGAATATTTTTCCCGTAAATTTTCAGAATCTTTAGGTAAGATTGTGAACTAAATTATCTGAAAACTTAGGAGGAATATATTCATAACATTGGAAGGAAAACTCCAGCTCAGGAAAAGTAGTTTTAAGTAAGTCTTTAAAATCTATAGGTGAAATATTTTGAAAAAAAGCTGAAGATGTTTTAAAAGGAATATTTTTGTGAAAATAATAAGAAAACGTTGCAAGAATATCCCTTTTTTCAATTTTAAAAATTTCCCTTGAAAATCCGGCCAAAACTTTCTTGAATGATGTCTCCACAATAGTTAGCACGAAATATTGACAATATATGTAACCGGATGTGTGAAACGGGACCTCATCTTCCGGAAAAGAGTTTTCCTAAACTTTTCTCCTATACTTAAACCACGTTTTCCCACAGCCTGAGAATTTTTGTGTTGGAACTTGGGAACTAACATCTCTCTCAATTTTTGAGATTTCAGAGCCAAATTTGGCCCAAAATTTCCAGATATCCTCCAAAAAAGTTAAGGACCTGCAAAAAGTTAAGGACAATTTTTCCTAAAGATAGGGTCGTTTTTCACGGATATTAAAAAATTACTATACAATTTTAAACAAACAGTGAAAGCACCGGGTAAAATGGTTAAAATTTGACTTTTGTCAAAAAAATATTTATTTCTTTTTTCTTTTTTTCTTCAAACTTTTTTTTTCTCTTTTGGCGGATCCGGTAACGCACAAAAAGCTAAGGACAATTTTTCCGAAAGATAGGGTCGTTTTTCATGGATATTAAACAATTCTTACACAATTTTAAACAAGCAGTGAAAGCACTTGGTAAAATGGTTAAAATTTGACTTTTGCAAAAAAGAAAAAATTATTTCTATTTTCTTTTTTTTCTTCAAACTTTTTTTTTCTCTTTTGACGGATCCGGTAACGCACTGTCCCGACTTTCGTTGTTCCAGCAGTTGTGGCAACAAGGCTCTCACAGTGAATTGGCTTTTTATTTACGGATTCCGAGCGAAGGGAGCGACGTTAGCGGTCCATTTCTGCACCCTTACATATATATGCATATACACATCTCATATACATATCTCGAACGTCTAACGACCGCGCCAAGACGTCCTCGGGCTTTTCCGCTGCGCTTTTTTACGACACTCTCCAATTACACGCCCGAGCAAAAGCACCGATCCGCATCGCGTTCCCATTTGGAGATAAGCGGTTCTGCCTAGGGGACTGCGCCTTTTTCCATTTCCTCAATGCACAATACTCAAATCGGGCACTTGCAGTGCTCGAGCAATGATAGTTCGTTCGAGCAATTCTCCGTCGCCCCGCTCCTGTGCTGTCGTGGTAAGGAAAAACGCCACATGAGCCTTCAGATGTTGCCAAATTCTCTTAAATAAAAGTCAAATTTACCGGGAAAATTGTGAATATTTTTTTTCAAATTTCTAGGCGATTTTGTTCGCAATATAATTTATAATATCTGAAAATTACAAGGAAAACCATGGATCACATCCCTCACGAATACTTGTTTTATTCGAGGAAATTTGGCAACTCTCGAATTTTCATGCGGCGTTTTTCCTTAGTACGGCAGTATGATGAAAGCTCCTTCAAAATCGAGGACCAATGGAGCGCCTTTAAATCTTGATGATACTTTAAGCTTTGCCCAGCAGTTAGTTTAGTTGCCTAGCCGAAGCAACCTGTACACTTATTGACCTGCTCCGATATTGCCGTGATAAAAAAGGGAGTCGTAATATCAGGACATTTTCAAATTTCTGAACAAGAATTTGCCTGAAACACCTTAATTATTCCCGCAGTTTAAAGAGGAATTCAATCGTAATTTAATGCAGTTTTATGCGCACAAAATACCTCAATGCACACGCACACTACTGCGCACAGAAAAGCGAATCAATGGAGATGGTCAGATGTGAATTGGGAACTTCATTTGCTTGAACAGGAAAAACGGAGAGGTTTAAAAATGGTTTCATAGGTTTTCGAGTAAAATTTTCATCAAGAAACACGCCTAACATGCATAATTTGACAAAAAATACATTGAAATTTGTAGTCTAAGTCAAAAATTGTACTGTCGATCTCTCGAAAAGATTCGCTCCATTGTGCGCCGCGCCGTAACATAAGGGCGGAACTAACTTTCTTTGATGAAACAGGAATGTTTCAATTAATTTTATGCACACTCTAAAGTAGTTCATTCCCACAAAAAGAAACCTTTATCCACGGCTGTAACACTTTCAGACAAACCATTTTCGTGAAATTGAGTCAACCGATCAGATTCTGAGATTTTGAAGAAAAACTCTCTCTAGTGTCCTATAGAATAAGTTGCGAACGTTTTCGTTAATTTTTTTGCCAAAAAGGGGACGGGAATTTGTACTGTTACTGTAATTTTGTGCTCTGAACCTGTGCTGTATTCCTTGCAAAATTTCATTCAAGACTAGAGGGCTGGTAGTTCCACGGACCGCTTCGCGCCTTCAGCATTTTGTGTTACACTGTATTCTTATGATTTTATACTATAGAGTATGATTTGGTAATTGGTTAAATTGAAAATCCTCCATAAAGGCAGAAACTTTATAAGAGTGTTTTCGAGTAGGTTGAGATAAATTTAAATTAATTTCGTGCGAAACTGTAATTTTTCGAAAATTAATCCGGCGAATACAACGAAGTTCTTGACAAAAACGAGGAGACCCCGTCAACAGGGCGCTGAAGCAATAAATTCCCCGCTCCTGAAAGAAAAAATGTCATTAAATCACTCGCGAAAGCTGGATCCACACACGGCTTTAACGATTAAAAAGTTTAAATTATATTCCCGCGAGGACGAGACAACTTTCACGAGTCGAGTTCCAACTTCGGGAACTCTGCAGCGAAAACGACTAAAAAGCTCGTAATCCGAGTGGCGGGGGGAGATTTTATGGTCAAGAGCTTTCGAATATGCTGGTGGAGTAAAAACATTACTACCAGGAATGAATTTTCTTAATGTTGTCGTAAAAATAATTTTTGGCTTCCCTCGACCGGTTGGCCCTGTTCTCGCTCGGAATCACCCTAGGAACGAAAGGCCGATCGAACGCCTATTTTATTTTAGTGCATATTTGATAAATTTAGTTTTTGTTCGTCTATGAGTGGAGAGATTTTACACTATGTTTCTCGCGAAATTTTACATATGAAACAATACATAGATCGCAAATTCCTGATGCATGCAAAAACTCAATTGTCTAGAGATTAAGTTGCTCAGCGTTTTTGGAAAAAAAAAAAAAAAAATTAAAAGAGAGAAAAGTAAGCACAAGGATGTTTCATCTATTACAAATGGGTGAATCCAGGGTTCAGAGTCTACCACTGATATTAATTCGACTATCGATATCGATCAATGATGTTTTTTTTTTTTTGCAGTACCTTTACTCTTCAAAATGTGATCGAATACCCCCACGGCATGTATCTCCTTTTCGTAAATTGGAATTTCCGAGATGTCTCGAATACAGTTGACACTTAGTCATTTATTAAAATGATAGCCGAGCCAAATTTCGGTTTTAATTAGGTAGATGGATGATAAACTTCGGGTGAAGTCAAGAGCCAAACAAGTTTACCAAACATTGGTTTGTTTGCGAACGAAATTCTCAACACGTTGTTCAACATCCACCGGATAGGTAAGTCAAGAGCCGAATGTTGGAGTCCCGAAAGTAAAAGCTTCCACCATAGCTAAGATATCAATCAGTGGCGTGGCGTGTTTTGCGATATATCGATTGATCTACCATTAAAACCTATGGAAAAGGATCGATTATTAGGGTGTTCGCAGCGAATACCCTAATAATTGATTCTTTACCACTGCTCAAATGGGGAAATATCGATAATCGATCATTCACGCCTCGCCACTGATACCAATGGATCTTTCTCTACGAGTTGGAGTTCGATACTGCCGTGCTAAGGAAGAACGCCGTATGAACATTCGAGAGTTGCCAAATTTCCTTCGATATAATGTTTATTTCGATATAATGATTTCGATTTTTTATTCGATATAATGTTTATTTGTGAGGAAATTTATGAATATTTTTCCTTGATATTTTCGAAAGTTTTAGATCAAATTACAAACAAAATTATCTGAGAAACAAGGTGGAGAAATGGTGCTGGGTCCACACCATTTTGCGGGGAAACAAAGCCAAGAAATACCAAAAATTAAAATTGTTCTAAAATTGTTAATTGTTCTTAAAAATTTATTTTTGACTCTAATTTTAATTTTTGGTATTTCTTGGCTTTGTTTCCCCGCGAAATGGTGTGGACCCAGCACCATTTCTCCACCTTGTTAAATACAGTTTCGGGCCACTTTTTAGTGTTTAATTTTTTATGCCACCTTTTTTCGTTTGGAGGCTTTCCAGTGTTGTCGAGTTTAGACTTTGTCCGGAGGTGGCTACCGCCACCCATGATCTGAGAAATTGGTAGGCAAATATTCGAAAATTTTCCTGAAAATTAGTGATTTGCCAGGAGAAATTTGGCAACGCCTGAAGGTTCATGCGGCGTTCTTCCTTAGCACGGCAGGATAGGGAGGAGGTAAGGATAAGCGTGGAGGGTGGGACTGACTTGCCACTGGTCCGGAAGGGGGAGGCGCGGCACTGGAGGACGATGTTGTCGCCGCTTTTGGCCTTCCAGCTGACCTTGCCCTCCCAGTCGAAGCCCCGCTCCAGGTGCCGCAGGATCATGTCCATGGAGCCGATCTGGTGCACCGAGGGCAGCTGCTTCCCCAGCAGCTCAGATCGAGAGTAGCCCAGCGTGTGCGACATCGCCTTGTTGACGAACTGAAACAACGCAAACGACACGAGTCAACAATCAACATCCACATGGAGGATAAGGAACTGAGACGCAAAAAAGATATCACGTGGCAGAAATTAACTCTTTATTGCACAGCGTTGCATGAAAGCAACAAATGGTTTTCAGCTTTATTTCTATGCTGGAGTATTAAATTGTACCTATCAAAGCAATGTTTTTTGGGGAACATCATAAGTCTGATCTCCTTACTTTAAAAAAAACCCATGCAAATCGATTCCAACCGACTCTATTGTCGAAAAAATACTGTAAAATGTAGATTTTTTCTCCAAAATCAATGATTAGCTCATGCAACAAAGGGTTAAATCAAGCAATGGGTGATTGGATCGCGTTAAGCAGAGACGAACCACCAAGGCACATCAGTTACTGCCAAATTTATTCGAGGAATTTAAGTTTTTTTCGCCAAAACGGTTAGCGCGGATTATGTTCAAATTTCAGTGAATTTTCCGCGTGGTACGAAGCAAAGTCCTTAAACTTTTCAAAGGAATCTGCACAAACGTTATCTCGTACAAAATTAAATTGCCTAGTCAAATTTGACAATAGCTGATGGGGCTTGGCTCCTTTCTGTTAAACGAGGTCCAATTGTTTTAGGTCTTAAAATACTGTTTGTATGGTGTAAACTCATAGGCGGATCCAAGGGCAGGGCGCCAAAGGCGTGCGCCCCTCCCTTGTTCGTCCAAAACATGGAAGAAGAAAAAGGGAAGAAAGAAAGGAACGAAAGAAAGAAGGAGAGATGTTTTTATTCGGTAATTTCTCATGTCAAATTGACTCCAACTGCATATTAGATGCTTTAAAATTCGACAATTTTCTAATGGAAGCCCCTTGGACCCCCTTTCGCCCCCCCTTGTTCGGATTGACTAGATCCGCCTTTGCGATTTATTGCAACGATGGTAATTTGTTTGTAACTGATAAGTGGACGTACTGAATTAGTAGAAGTATAAATGCTATTCATACAGCTTGATTTCCTCGAATGTTTCATTTTTTAACGGAAAACTGAAAATATGGTACCTTGAAACTTTCTGTGAATTTCTTCTGAATTTTGAAACATTTATATTCTTAAAGTTCGAATCAGAAAGTTGCTTGGTTTTCGGTGGAAAAAATGAACCATGGTAGGAAAGAAGATAACGTCTGTTGTACTTTCAATTTTCTAGTTTTTGAGAATTGTTCCCTTTCGGAAAAGGCATTTTGCCAGATATCACGCTTTAGTTGAATGAAACTTTGGAATCCACCACATTACATTGCATGCGACTAATACAGCTCCGCTGCCTCCAACATTGCCTACCTTCCTCAATTGAAGGCGTTTTGTGGAAGTGCCATTGCGCGTATCGTCTGTCAAACTGTAAAAACCTGTATCTCGACGTTGTAAACATCCTGTCATGGTTTGTTTTTAAATTGATAAGCCATATATTGAGAATTTCACCAATTTCCTCCCTTCGCGCGATGAATAAAGTCAGGCAATAGTGTTGGTTCATTCTTCTTAATTAAATTAAAATCGAAGGGAGCAAAAAATGAATAAACAAGGAGTGAAGGAAGCAGAGGAAGAGGAGATGTTAGAAAAACGGGGAAAAGGAGAAGATAAAAAAGAGGAAAATGAGAAGAGGAAAACATTGACAAAGAAATACTACAAGAGAAGGGAGAAGAAGCAGAATGGGGGGTACAAAAAGAAGAGAAGGATGAAAAACACAAAGAAAATAATGAAGAGGAGTAAAAGAAAACAAACAGGAAGAAATAATAGGAAAAAAATTAAGAAAGAAGAGGTGGAAAAGGGAGAAATCGGAAGAACTCGAAGGCTATAAAAAGCGGAACAAAGATTCTACATGAAATTGGTGACGAAAATTGCGGGTGAAGATTCCTAAATTAGATTTTAAAATTTGAAAACTTGACTATTAATTTGACTTTTACGTCAAGTAATACCTTCTGGCACAAAATTTCACAATAATCGTTCGAAAATGAGCCGCATCGTACGATCATAGGGACTCCGCTCAGTTGGAAACGATACCAGTCCAACAACGAACGTTAAAACGCCTTCATTTTCGTCTGATACCGTGCAATACTTCCAAGGTGGAATAGTTGCATGCAGCGCCTTCCAAGAAGTCGCCTCGACTTGACTGCAGTAGATCACAATTGCCGTTAATATTAAACTCTACCGCGTGCGCAGTTACACTTTTCTCATCACCGACGGTGAGATGAAAAACATTCATGCTCAAATTTGCGACGTTGCAAGTTTTTCACTGCCTAATTTTTACGGGTAAGCGAATATTAACAATTTTACAACTGCCGTGATTTTTCCAAGACATAACAAAATATATAATTTTAATGTTTCATTCAAGTCTATATGTATGTTTTCGTTGAAAAGGGAAAAAGAAAAATGAGTAGGAGTCTTGGAACCAACAAAAACGGAGCCGGAATTGTATAGCGATACCCTTTGAAGTAAACGGGCCTCATGAGTTGATAAAGAGCCGAAACACAGTAGGTAAGTGGCGATTAGTGTTACATTATCATTTCACTTTTGCGTCTGTGATGTAAAGATCATGAATTTTGAGTCAATTCCTCCGAACGATGAAAAGAGAGAAAAAAAAGAAAAAATTTAAACACACGAGATACCTATTATTTTCTCAAAAGCGAGATGATCATGTCACACAAATCGTTATTTAGTATGTTTCCGCTCTTTATCAACTCATCAGGCCATCGTTACTTCAAGGGGTATACAATTCCGGATCCTTTTTTGTTGGTTCCAAGGTACTCATTCTTCTTTTTCTCTTTTCAATGAAAGCGTACACATAGACTTGAATAAAACATTAAAATTATACATCGCGTCGTGTCTCTGAAAAATCACGACAGTTTTTAAAGTGCTAATATTTGTCCACCCGTACGAAATAGGCAGTGAAAAACTTGCAACATCGCAAATTTTGGTATGAATGTTTTTCATTTCACCGTCGGTGATGAGAAAAGTGTAACTGTGCACGCGGTGGAGTTTAATATTAACGGCAATTGTGATCTACTGCCGTCAAGTCGAAGCGACTTCTTGGAAGGCGCTGCATGCAACTATTCCACCTCGGAAGTATTGCACGGTATCAGACGAAAATGAAGGCGCTTCAACGTTTGTAAATGGACTGTTATCGTTACTGTGTAATGTCCCATTGATCGTGCGATATGTGGCTCCTGTTCGTTCGATTTTTGTGAAACTTTGTACCAGCTGGTGGTATTTTTTGACGGAAGACTCAAACATAATTTCAAAATTTTAAAATTTTAAAATCCAAGATATGGATGTGGCTTAATATACCACCTCGGCTTCTGTTCGATCGATGTTGGTGAAACTTGGTGCTAAGAGGTATTTTTCTCTGTAAAATTCGATTTTATAATTAAATTTTCAAGATTCAAAAATTTAATTTAGGAATTTTCACCTGGAATTATCGTCACCAATTTCATGTGGAAACTTTTTCCACGTTTTCTCACCCTTCGAGTTGAATGCTACCTCGTCTCCTACGAGTTTGATCGATTTTTGTGTGATTTGGTGCCAGGCCGCATTTTTTAACGTATAAGTCGAATTTTCAGTCAAATCAAAATTCAAAAATTCAACACGGCGAAAGTGGCCAAAAATGCTTAATTGGCGCCTCCGAAATTTTCCAACTTTGCAATGTCCAGGCAACAACAATCTAGAAACCGCATTCGTTCCTCACTCTCTAGTATAACTTTGGCATGATAATTATTTCGTAAATGTCTCTTAAAATCGTAAGAGAAGGAAGAAAAAGTGGAATAGGAGAGACAGAGACAGGGAAATATGAAAAAAAAGAAGCAGCGGAAGAAGAGCACAAGGTAGGGTCATAAAAATAACACATGGATGGAGTAGTGCGCATCGTCACATCATGGACAACTTGGCAGCGCGGGAACACGGCACCGAAAGGCGCAACAGATGAGCTGAATAAATGAATAAACTCCCCCCGCGAACTCAATAAGGGAGGGCGTGCTCAACAGGTCGCGACAGGCCGGAAGCGAGTGGGGGTGGGGGGCTGGGGGCGGAAGGGGGTGATTGGTGGTTGTCGGTACCTGAATACTATGATTGGCGTCGGTGACGAGGACGAGGTCGCGGGTTTTGTCCAGCGACGCGAACACGGCCTCGTTTTGCGTCAGCGCCGAATGAAGGGGCAACTCCGACTCGGCCAGCTGCACCAGCTCGCTCAGGCACTGGTTCTCCGTCAACGGCTCCAGGATCACCTGCAACACGATACATACACGTGGTTTTAAGTCGTCTCATTGTTTAACACAATTCCGAAAAACAAAGTATGGATCGTATTCGATAGTGGTTCGATGTATCGTTTGGTTCAAAACGATAGAACATATCTTGAAACAAAAATTGTACGATTTAAGTTGGAAAAGCTGAAAATGAGAAAATTCTCTACAATTTTACTCGTCATTGCCAAATTGTACTCATAAGTATCAAAAATCTATCACAAAAAACCCGTTCCCTTAGATTACTCAATTGACTTTCGAGGATATGTTTACATGTTGTACCAATCGATATAGATACAATCTCACCTGTTTGATGTATCGAATACGATCCATTTTGGTTTTTATTAGAAAGGAGATATGTTTCCCCGATCAAAATCGGATATCGATGCGAATGCCGAGTGTTGCCTATTAAAATTATAGGTCTCAATAGACGATTAAAATGCCCATCCAAATGGGAGGAAGTGTGCCAAAAGTCATAAGTCCTAAAATTGTTACTACATTTTATTTTCCAATGTTCCATTTCGATTGCTCCTGAGTCGTTTGTAGGAGAAGATGAATTTTCAATTAAAAACTTGGTAGAATGTTCCGTGCGGCAAGAAATGATGAAAGGTAGCAGTCTATTTTGATCAATGAAGATTGTTGCATGTTGGCTCGGAAATTGCTGGTCTATTGAGGCCTTAAAATTAAATGCCTCGATTGAGATCATAGTGCTCATCCAAATGAGAGGAGGTGCGTCAGGAGTCATCAAAAATTGGCAGAATAAAATAAGTCTATCGCTAAGTAAGTAGTGAGTCTTATGCTTGGGGGCGTAACTTTATTAGTATAATTTGCAAGGATCCACCCGAGTGACTATGAATACGGTCATGACATTGATTGATCTAAATATAATATTGCAGTACGGCTCTTTTCAACGCGGTACTTAGAGCTGGGAGTGAGAAGTCAGAGCGCCTTCATTTTGAGCAAACGCAACACGGACATCCCACAAGTGCGAATAGTTGCATGAAGGCTTTATCGTTAGTTCCGCGTCAAGTCAACGAGACCGCAGTCTTGGGTAGAAACCAATCGGTCACTCAATTATTTTGGGATGAACTGAGTAACACTTGGCGAAAGGTTACCACGTGATATCTTAAGAATTGAATTGAGTAGGGTTCCAAAAATTTTGAGTTAAGAAATAACACTTATTTTACGAAAAATTGAAGATGCTTCGTCACATTGCGCCTAGTAAGAGGATATATCTTCAAACCTCCTCGATTTTGAATCAATGGATTACTAGACAGAAAAGGGGTTTAAACAACGCGACAGATTATTCCTTATCAAAAATTTCAAGCATCTATTCTTAATATCATCAGATCTGCTTTATCATTTTGACTTTCCAGTAATGCCATTTTACTCGCAAAAATACTTAATTTTCTTGTCATAGAAATCGGATTTGAAAAATCAAAAAGAGGCTTGACATTTTTTTGCAGTATCCTCCGATATTAAAAAAATATCTAGAATACCATTACAACAAAAACGGAACTACCGGGAGGGTTTTGAAAGTAATCCTTGGGGTACGAATCGAAAAAATCCAAAATTGCTCTGAAAACAAAAAGCACCGCTCGAGAGTTGATATTAAGTTGAAGCTCTTCTTGCGTTTACCTCCCCCATCTTGTAAGGCACCCCTAACTTTGACAACGACGCCGATAAGTTCCTTGACTTAAGCAGCGCGAGCCACCCCTCCTCCGCCCCCTCCACTTGGAGCCTTGGTCGGTTGTTCCAATTATTCGCTTTTGTTTTTGTACTGGGTCTGATAATTCCATCGGGGGAGCGGGGCGCTCTCAGGAATTGTGTTATCTCTTGACTTGCTAAATTTAATTCATGTCAGCTCATTGCTTTCCTCACTTGATGTGTCCTTTGTTTGTTGCTTTTGTTTCCCTCCTCGCTAATGTTGCCGCTCGTGGCGAAATCTTTCGCTTTGCAGATTCCTTACTCATTTTTGTGGATGTTCTAGGCCACATCGACCATTTTGGATTTTCGAATTTTGAAAATTTGAGTTGAAAGTCAAGCCCCCCCATTAAAAAATGCCACCTACAGGCTTCACACAATTTTTTTATCTTCAATTCCCTGACTTTCCCTGATATTCCTGATTTTGCCTGACAATTTTTGCTTAACCCTGCCTCCAAAATTTTCTAATTCCCTGAATTTCCTTGGCCCTTGAACAAAATTTCAATCTTCTTTTTTTTCTCTTAAAATACGCTATTTTTCGCTAAACTTTGGATCAATTTTCTTGCTCAAAGATCGGATGATAGATGAAGGCGTTCGGTTGCAGGTTAACGGATGACAGGCCTTAAAAATGACCAGAAAGATAAACAGCTGGCAGATCAATGATGTTGTAGTGATAAGTAGATGTTTCAAAAATTCCCTGACTTTACCTGATTTTCCCGGTTTTCCAGATAAGACCGACAGCAACCCTGCACCCGGTACCAAGTACCACAAAAATTGGTCGAACAGGAGCTGCATATTGTAGGATCAGTAAGACTCTATACAGTTGCAAACGATACTGGTAAATTTACATTCGTTAGAGCGCCTTCATTTTAGCCTGATACTGTGCAACACTTCCAAGGTGGAATAGTTGCTCAGAGCGCCTACCATGCAGTGTCGCTTCAACTTTACGGCAGAAGGTGACGATTACCGCGGAAACGACATTTACGCCATTTTAGATTTTTGCAAGGGTGGCCGGAAACATTGAAAGATAGGCTTTATTCCTTTCTCGTTTTCCCCATTTATTTATTTTTTCAGGGATTTCTATCCGTGTCGTAAAGTTGATGCCCGTGAACTCAAACAGAAAAACTGATAAAGAAATGATAAGCTCCCAACAGCGGACCTGCAAAGTTTTGACTGCAAAGGCGGATAACAATACATTTCCTTTCATAAAAGAAAGAGAGAGAAAACAGTAAGGGAAAAAAATACGAGGGTGTCTTAATCTGCAAATACCCAACTAAGTACAGAAAGTTCTGCTGGAGGATTTTGAAGACTTTCCCGAAATCTGGCAACTTAAATCAGGATTGAGTCAACGAAAAGCCTATAATCCTATAATTGCGAATAGAGGACTCGATTTCACTCTATAGAAATATTACTTTATTACGGACAAACAACTCGGGAATGAGGAAAAGCGATGTTTACGTCTCCGTAAGAAACGGGCTTTTAAGAGTCTTAGAGAGGGACTCGGATTGGCAATGAAAGTCAGAGAATGTCAAAACAATTTTGCGTCTGGTATTACATGGCAGTTGTCAGATCGCACGCATTAACAATGATAAAAAAGTAAAAAGAAGCAGCAAAGGTACAAAACGTGAAAATTAAAATGTACACAGAAAGCAGGATAAAGTTTATATTTTTTGTTACGGTGAGGCTCCATTCTTTACGGATTTTTTTTCAGAAATGGAGTAAACCGCTCCAACTGATGGATGAATTAAAAAATCCGAATATTTGTACAGTGCTTATCCGCGAAAAATCTTTTCTCGGACAATCACTGAAAGTAACAAGTTCCCAAAACTTAGACGACGAATAATTAAACTGGAACGAATCTTGGGGAGATGGAATAAAAACAGACTGTGCATTATTCGGGTGAACGCTGGGTGGAACTTTAAAATAACACTTTAAGTTTCAGCGCTTACAATTCTGATTTACTCTGCAGTAAAAGTTCATTTCATAATTTATCAAATCAACTAGAATAAACTATATTTTGGCGAAGGACTATCTTCCTCCTTGAATAGCCGGTCTGTTCGTTGAGAATTTGCGCGACACTATTTTCTTTTCCTCTCCCTCTTTTCTTTCCATTAAATTTTAAATACCGAAGAAAGTCCATTGTAAAGAGATGGAGTCGTGAGCCGTCGCATAATGTTATTAACCAAGTCATTACTACTAACTACATTTCGATAGCTAAAAGTCGAAAAGAGCGTAGCTCCGATTGCAACGTTGCAAATGTCCGCTCAAGTTTTGTTTTTTTTTAAAGCAAAAAAAAGTGCTTTAAGTTTTTTTTTAAACTTTTCTTGAATTTTCTTCACTCATTCAAACAAATTCACGAAAAATCCCGGCCCATGGAGATAATTTGGTTGATTATCTCTGATAAAATAAAGAGCAGTCGGTGATTTTGAAACATTGCGATGCATTCACGTATTTTCCGACTTTAGCTATCGATGAATTGACCAAATTGTTACCGGTTACAGACCTTAGGCGTTATATTCTCAGCAACAAGTCTGTGCTGAGAAAAATGGAGATCAATTACTGATTGAGTGCGATGTTTTATTCGTACTTAATACTTATTTTTATCTCTCCGAATTTTATGTTTTTGCTCCCGTTGCGGATGATTCTACAAACTTATGCGCAAGGGTCATCGTCGTTTTTTCGACCAAAATTTCAGGATCTGCCAATATTTCTGATTTAATTGATGCTATATGCCGCACATCAATTCGACCACACCAGGTTTCTGCTCGGCGAATCACTAAACGAAAAAGTGATTCTGAAGTGATCAGAAAAAGGAACTAAAGATGATGGGAGTGGCGATCATAATGATGATGATAGCGATAATGATACCAATGATGGTGATTTCGGTGGCATGCATGACAATGGTGATAATAATGATGATGATAATCGTGTTGGGGACGATTTAAAAACTGAAGGAGTGAGAGCTACAATTAATCGCATTGCATCGTTTAAAAGTTTAGTCTTACAACTCATTTTTCTAATCATCAACGTGTGTATGTTTTCTACGGGACATTACATGAAATTTTAGTCAAATTTCAAATTCACGAAGAAAATTTCAACCGAACATATGCAACCGTGTCCGAGCAAATAAATGAAACTAACAAACAAATACATTGTTGAGTGCAACTTCGCAACGTTGCGTTGCAATAAAGCCCTCTGGCTCTGACTCCTTCAATTTTATGTTGTTGTGTTTTTCTTCATGCCCTTCTTTCAGCCCCTGTGCAGGGTTCAGATCAATAAAA